AATATATCACAGAACAAAGAAAAAACCTCCACCCTGGGTCACAGGACATCTATCTCAGAGATGTTCACCAACACAGAAAGATTTGTTGCTTATGATAAAAGACATCTGTGACAAGACATACTGAACAAAGCATTATTTGACCCCTAACTAAACATAGCTGCTTTATAAAAGGTTGTTTTTTTATATAATATTGCTAAACACTATTTCTGTAGCTCTTTTAAGAAAAGAGAGAACAGCAAGTGTTATTAAATCTGCGGTAGACATCATTCTAATCTGTGTCTGGGAAAGGATATGACACTTCCATCGTAACTGCCTAATTTGCTACTTAGGGACAGAAACTAATGCTACTTAATTGAAATAAAACCAGATGCACTGCTGAGAGCCTACCACCTTTAGAACTATGCTGAGCATCATAGGGAAAAAAGAAAGAAAGAAAAAGACCAGGTTGCACTTTGGCCTCCAGAAGAGACAAGGTAAACAGAAGGTGAGTTCAAAATGTTTGTGTTTAGAGAACTCCATGTGAATTGAAATGTGGCAAGGAGGAGCTTTCACAGAAGAGATGAACTTTGCTCAGTGGGTAAAATTTCACAAGGCAGTTTGGCAGGAAACACAAGCAAAGCAGCACAATGGATTCAAGGCTCAGTGGTTTTGAAGATAAAATTCAATCCCTCACTTCCATTTGGGGTGCAATATTGGGAAGCAGCAAAAGTGTCATCAGCAGGAAGGTCAACTCGCCATCGGAGATAGACTTATTGACTTGACCAGCCAAGCCCAGTGTAATCCTCCATCCCCAATTCCATGTCCTTCACAACACACATTTCGGCTGTCACCTCTCCTAATTATCTTGCTTACCTGTCAATTCTAAGGAGTCATCTAGGGATAAAGCGATGCCCTCAGAAACCAGGACTGAGTCTGGGGGAGGGGCTGAAGTTATGGGGCTGGAGGATTCTCACTAGGGATGTCAGCTCACTGCTGGCCAAGAGTGGGGCCCAGATTCAGTCTTCTCCTTTTGTTCCCCTGGTCCCAAAGTATCCTGGAACAGTGCTTTCTGGTTGGGCTATGTGCTTTCATGGTGGCAATCTTAGTTGGTTCAGGAACCAGACGGCAGAGGTGTTAGCAGCTTGGCAGGAAGATCAAGGAAAACATCTGAAATTCTGTCTCCCTCTTCCTGCTAGCAATAATCAAGAAGACCCTTCAGTTTCAGTACTATTTTAAAAAGGACTCCTGTACCCAAAGGAAAACCTTTGTATAGGCCAGCATTCAGTTTAAGACTTTTGGCCTTGGTTTCTCAGTTCATGAACTCTGATTTGATGTTCTGTGACCTGAACAAACTCTGATCTGATATTCTCTTTTTTCTTCCCGAAAAAAAAGTGCATTAGAGGTATGGTGATTTCCAGAGCATCTCTGAGGAAGTGTGAATCTGTTTGTGTGGCCCTGTCTACCATGTATTACAAGGATTTATGGGTCTGCCTTACTCTCCCCTACTAGACCATCTGGATGAATCACCTCAACATTCTCTACCTTGCTCAGTCTAAAAACTTATCCTGGGGAAACATTCAATAAATAGATATAGGCATCAATGGCCATACCTCCCTGAATGTGCCCGATCTTGTCTGATCTTGGAAGCTAAGCAGTGTCAGGCCTGGTTAGTACTTGGATGGGAGAACAAAAAGATACACCTTGGCTAAAGGAACACAGCAGTGAGAGAATTCCAGTTCTTGCCACCTTCCCACTGCCTAGAAGACAGAAGACTGAGGTCTTGCTAAACCTTTATTTACCACCACTCTTTACCACTGTGTCCTTTCCTAGACCCTGCCTGTGCAGCTCTTCCTAAATGCCTCAGCATCCAAGTGTATTTTCAGACCTTAACCCTGTCAGTACCTTTCTCCTGGACCATCCTGCTACAAGCATTTAACAGTGACACATCACTAGAGGGGATGCCGGGGGTGGGTGGGGAAGGTATCACATTGCATGGAACAGGAAGGGTAAAATCAGGTGGATCATGTTGTGTGGTCCCATGATCCAACTGCCCACAGCCCTTCTGGAAAAGTGACGGTGTCTACTCCTACCTATTTCCAGGAAAGTAAGTTCTATAACTTCAGGCAACCCATTCCTATGTCTAAAATTCATTACGTCCCCTAGTAATTGAAGTCTCTTTCACCTACTGGCAAAAAGTCCAATGGAAGGTTAACATCTAGACTAATGGTTCTCAGGGTGTGGCCTCTGGACCAGCAGTATGGGCAGTACCTGGGAACTAGGTTAGAAATGCCAATTCTTGGGTCCCATCCCAGACCGACTGAATCAGAAACTCTGGGCATGGGCCCAGCAATCTGCTTTTAACAACTCCTCCAAGTGATTCTGATGCTCACTCCTTTGAGAACCCCTGGTCTATACAATGGGGGCTATGAGCATCATGTGACTATATCAGTAGTCAATTTTGAATCAGCTGCTTGTTTGGCTTAGGTTCCTTCTGTTTGTTGCTGCTTGTCAGGAAGAGATATCCCCTGCATTCCACAGATCATGTGAACTGTCAACTGGAGAGGATGGGACACAACATTCACAGGCCACTGGGCTCCTGGAAGCTGAGGCTATTTGACTTCGAAGAACTACACACAAGATCCTAATTAATATATTTGTCAAAAGCTGCTCCTTCTTGTGACAATTCTAGCAGAGACTTCGGTGACAGCCATGCACTTTTATGGATTTTAATTGAGTAATTAATAGGATAACAGTTACAAGTGCAAGTTAAGTGCATATTCTTTCTACTGGATTGGGTCATAAATAAGTAATATAGCTTTTGAAAGTGAATGGGAAGAGACGCTTGAAAAGAGAGACCTATTGGGAGCTGAGTGAGGGAGCCCAGACTTAATTTGAAGCTCTACCTTCTCATTTTAGCAAACCAAGCATTTCCACAAGGGATAAGCCGAGACCATGGCGGTTTCTGTTTCACTTTGTGCTGCAGCTGCAGCCAAACATCGACAATGTGCCAAATGGAGACATTTTTGAAACTGTTCTCCTCTCTCAGACATTAAAAGCAAAAATGACTCTTCAATATACCAGAGGTAAGGAGGAAGGAGGAACATCAGCAAAGACTGAGGACTACTTTACAACACAGTTACATAGACCATTCGACACTTTTCTCTTTTCCCAGGTCCCCAAGGCTAACGCCTGCCTCAACCACAAACTCCTGGGCTGCCCTAGGATGTAGAGGGCCACTCCCCTGTTCCAAATCCACTCGGGGTCTTGGGGCCACATCACATCTTTTGTGGGTCCTGAGCACTTTTGCTTTCACAAGCTCCTTTCTTCATAAGAAAAAAATAAAAATAAAAACTACATTTTATGATTTTGTTAGTATTAAGACAAATTGGTTATGTGTTCATTATTCTTATATTTATTTTGTCCTGATTTGAAAAGAAATAAAAAGGAAAGCAGTTTCGTCGATCCCTACAAGTGCTGTGGGCCTGTGGTTGTTTCCTACGGCTGCTGGAACAAAGTCCCACTCACTGGTGGCTTAAGACAGCAGAAGTGTATTGTCTCACAGACTGGAGGCTGGAAGTCCACGATCAAGTTGCTGGCAGGGCCACACTTCCTTTGAAGGTGCTGGGGGAAAATCCATGCCAGTCCTCTGTCCTAGCTTCTCAAAGTCCTCTGTCTTGTGGCAGCATAACTCTGATCTTCACAAAGCATTCCCCCTGTGTGTGTCTGTCTTCAAATGACCCCCTTCTATAACCACACCAGTCATGTCAGATTGGAGGCCCACTCTGTGCCATGATGACCTCATTTTAACTTAACTAATTGCTCTGAACAGCCTTATTGTCAAATAAGGTCATATTCCAAGGTACTAGGGATTAGGATTTCAAAATATATAAGTTTTGAGGAAGAGGGACACAGTCCAACCCATAACACAGGGCTGTGGCCTTGTGTCTAATGAGAAAGTCACCTCTTACAAGGGCCTTCTCTGGGATTCTGAAGACCACATAGAAACCCAGGGTCTTCAGTAGCAGCAAAAATGAGATAAACACCCAGGGGTTGGGGAAGATACATTTTTGGTTTGAGGTTGGCTGCAGTGGCTCACACCTGTAATCCCAGCACTTTGGAAGGCCCAGGCGGGTAAATGACTTGAGCTCGGGCTTGAGACCAGCCTGGGCACCATAGCGAAACCGCATCTCTACAAGAAAAATGCAAAAATTAGCCAGGTGTGGTGCTGGCATACACCTGTAGTCCCAGCTACTCGAGAGGCTGAGCGGGTATGATCACTTGAGCCCGAGGAGGCAGAGACTGCAATGAACCCTGATCACACCACCGTACTTGAGCTGGGTGACACAGCAAGACCTCATCTCAAAAAAAAAAATTTTTTTAAAGGAAATACTTCACCACACTTCAGGAAGACTTTGTGTGGACTAACTCAGTCTGGGGGAAGGTGAACTGCTCTCAATGCCCCACTTCAAATGAGTGCCTTGCCTTGGGGACCTCTCAGTCTCTGATTTAGGAGCAAACCTTCCTCTGCCTTGAGCTCTTCATCATGCTTATTTACCACTTGTCCTGGGAGCTGAGCCCCACCAGGTAATGAGAAAGGAAACGATTTCTTTTTTTTAAAGAAATCTGATTTTCATGGAGCCATGTACTTTCATGCTCTTTTCCCCAAATGAACTAGCTTTTTCCCTTTCCTGAAAGAAACATTCAGCTCGCCCCTGGGTCTTCACTGACAATCCAAAACAGAGGGGTAGAAAGAGAGGTTCCATCCAAAGAAAGCGACTTGTCCGTCTCCCCTGGACACCACCCTCTCTTCTCACCTGACTCTTCTATTAGAAAGGAGAGAGACAGCAGGGGAGACTGGAATGGATACTTGAGATTATCACTCCCTTTTTTTTCGCTTCAGTTTTTTAAAGTTACTATCAGTCCATGGCAACAAAGGCCTCTGAATTCTTTCTCAGTCTGTGGCTCAATGGTTTCATTCTCAAGGGAGCCTATAAACCCCAACAACATGTGGGCTACCCAGCTTGTTACCCCCCCACCTTCAGAAGAAAAATCACCTCACACAAAAACAGCCAAATAAAGCCACACAGTCCGAGAAGGCCTATCAAGCGAGAACTGAAGCAGTGCGTGAACTTTGCCTGGCCACTGAAATTGCAAAATCTCCAGCTCATTCGCAGACACACAATGGGGTCTGGCAAAACCATTCACAGTCCTGGATGTGAACTGGGGCCTACGACAGGGAAGGCACCAAGGACAATGCCAGTGAGGCTGTGTCGAAAGCTGGGCTGTCTCTGAAATGGTTCTCTCCGAGCAGGCTGAGGTCAATAACAGGAATTGCTTGGAGAGTGTGCGTGCCAAAAATGAAGAGCCTGCCGTTTACATGGAGGAGCTGTTGAAACCACCCCAGGAAGACTTTATCTTTCGGCGCAAATTATAATAGAAAAATGGCAGTGGCACTCTGAACCATAAGTCTCTTAGGTTTTTTGGGTTCACTTTTAAAGAAACGTGACATCGCTAGGTACATAGGCGGGACCGAATGATGTATTTCTTGTAGCTGTCTGCTCTTCGTAGCGCCTCTGTCTCACGGCTTTGCAGGTTTTATGACCATATCGAAGGAGCTAGCAGAATCCTGTTGGTTGGACTGCTACCAACAGGGCTTGGGTTGGTTAACCTACCAGACCAACCTGAAAGGTCGAGCAAGCCCCAGTGACAAGGCAGCTGTGGTGCTTTTTGAGGCCATGCAATCCATTCACCTGTGTTTCCGTGGTGTTGATGCAAAATATAAGCCCTAGGCATCCTTCTTGGGCAGTGGCCATGGTGTGGTTTAGAGTGAATGGACACTCCATGCTCCAGGTCGGTGACAAACCATTTGAGTTACTCCCAAATCCTCTCCAAATGCTTCAAGTGACTAATCTTACAACACTGACCATTAACAAATAATGTGGGACAGGAAGAGAAAGTTCAGTGAACCAATGACTCAGTTCAGTTCCCAGCCAGAAGCTTCATGGTGCACAGAGGCCAGTGTCCTACAGAACAGTGGCTCTTGCTTCATACGACCTTGAGGCTTTCTTCACCTTGGAGGAGCTGCGTGCGGTCTCCGGCTCCTCCCTCCCTCAGAGGAGAAAGACCGCTTACTCGCTGTTCATATGATCTCTGATAATATGAGACTCAACAGGTCATGGGTTTCAGAGGTTTTTTTTTGATGCTGTGAAAAACATGTACCCCAAAACCTAAAATGCAATAAAATTAATAAAAAAAAGGGGGCAAAATGCATTGAAGGGATGCTGTCAAAGATAGTTATTATCAGCAAAAGAAAGATTTACCTTGTAGATGCCTCACTCTGTGGTTTCTCAAAGACTGAAGGAAACCTACCTCCAGCCAGGCCATTTTCTGAGAATTCCAACATATTAAAAAGTGAAGAAATGCCATAACAGAAACATAAAGATTTTTTAAAAATATTTATGTTCAGCAAATTAACATCTTCAAATAATAGGTTGAATGATATTAACTTGTTGCTTATAGAGGTCAAATTCATAAACAAAGATATAATACAATGTAACGTGCTAGTCACAAAATAATTATGCAATTCATAAAAAATATTTATTCCTGGTTTACTGTAAGAAGAGTGGTCCAGTGATGGAACTCAAGTTTAAAATAAATGAGTTTTTTCAGTTGTGTCAATGTATCTTTATGATGTATGAATAAATGAATTCTAAGATTAAAAAAAAAAAAAAAAAAGAAAACCAAGATCAGGGGAAAGTCAGATGGGTCTATGCCTCCTTGGGTAAGAGCTTCTAGGGAATGGAATAAAGCAAAGGATAGGGTCAGGCCAACCAAAAATTCTCATCAACACTGCTCAGAGGGTTGTCGTCCAGGGCAGAGACTGCTTCTGGTTCCTCCCTGTCCGGCCCTGGAAGTGTAGAGGCTTATACCTGGGGTGTTAGTAAATGCCCATAATTCCCAAAAGCAGGTCTGGTTCCCTAGCCTGACTGCAGAGGCGTGGGAGCCATACCTCATTGGCCTAATGGACCCGGGAGTTGGTCAAAGAGATGCAGCCCTCTCCCTGGAATTTCGGAGCCTCAGGGACCTTCTCACTGTCTTCATCTTCTCATTATTCAAGTGGGAGGCCTCAGCAACCTTGTCTTCTTTCCACACGTCCTGCATGGCCACAGCTGACCCCCTCACCCGCCTCAGAACACCTGTGCAAATCTCCTTGGGAACCAACACGCCACTCCCTGCCAAGCCTCCTCAGCACAGCCCTGTGAGTTCCTTCCCTCTCAGCTGGACAGAAGTTTCTCTCATAGCATTTATGCAACTTCTGAAACCCCACCTCCTCCAAGAAGCCATTCTAGGTTGATTAGAGAGAAATGCAAATAATTCCTGTGGCTACAACTGGAGATATATTTATCTCTATCTCTATCTCTCTGTATATATAGATACATAGTGTATGTATTAGGAGTTATCATCTTCAACAACCACCAAGTTTCTTGGTGTCTCCTCACCGTCACCCACATTGAATGCTGTTATTCTTTTAAAAAGTGAAAATAACTTTAATGTTTTACTGATTATAAAAACATTACATGCTCACATAAGCAGGTAGTTAGGTAAGTGCAGAAATCTATTCAGAAGAATATGAAAATCACACAAACCCCACGATATACAGACACAACTTTCCTTTTTAACTGACAGGTAAAAATGGTATATATTTATGGTGTACAACGTATTTTGATACATGTGTACAGAGTGGAATGGCTAAATCAAAGCAAGCTATTTAACATGCATTACCTCACAGACATCATCTTTGTGATGAGAATTCTTAAAATCTCTCACAGCAATTTATAAATATGTATCATTATTAATTGTAGTCACTATGATGTTCAATAGATCTCTTGAACTTACTTCTTCCGTCTGACTAACATTCTGTGTCCTTTGACCAACATCTCCTCAATCCCCCCAATGCTCAGTCTCTGCTAACACCATTCTCCTCTTTGCTTCAATGAGTTTGACTTTTTAAGATTCCACATATAAATGAGATCACGTAGTGTTTGTCTTTCTGTGCCTGGCTCATTAGTTCACTAACTTAATGTCCTCTAGGTTCATCCATGCAGCTGCAAATGACCAGGATTTTGTGCTTTTCAAACTGGAATAAATAACATTCCATTGTGTATATATACCATGTTTTCTTTCTCCATTCATTATTTGATGGACACTTAGATTGATTTCATATATTGACTACTGTGAATAATTCTGCAATGAACATGGGGATGCAGATACACAGAAACAAGTTATACGATATGCCTATTTACGTAAATGTATTTATTCTTTTTTTTTTTAGATGGAGTCTCATTTTGCCTACCAGGCTGGAGTGCAGCGGCACAATGTTGGCTCACTGCAACCTCTGCCTCCGGGGTTCAGGAGGTGAACCACCTGAACGTGGTGGCGTGCATGCCACCACGCCTGGCTAATTTTTGTATTTTTAGTAGAGACACGGTTTCACCACGTTGGCCAGGCCGGTGATGAACTCCTGACCTCAAGTGATCTGCCTGCTTCGGCCTCCCAAAGTGCTAGGATTACAGGTGTGAGCCACTGCACCTGGCCAGAAATGCATTTATTCATGACTGATATTAGCTCTATGACCCTGCAAAAATTAAACTGAGGCTAATTTCCATAGCAAAGCAGAAGTAGCTACTTATTAATTGGTCCTATTTACATGCCTACCATGAATGAATTATTTTTAGGCTTAAGTGGAAACCTTAAGCTTGACTAAGACTATCATAAGAAAACGGTGAACAGCATATCTACTTGAAGTGGAAGATGAGTGAGCTTCAATCCCATTGTCACTCTGCTACAGACACTGATGAGGCTTATAAAGGCAGGAAACATTAGTTTGAGTAAAAAAAAAAAAAAATGACTGAGGTTGACAAAAGAAGTACCCGCAAGGCATGGTGAGTGGATCTGCCAATCTCTCTGCCCGTCTCCAGACAGTATGACTCTGATTCTAAGCCCAAATTTAGTGGGAGGCCCTGCTGCCACATCTCACGTATGGCTGAGCTCGGTTAAGGTTCGTGGTCACCATCTCCGTTTCATGCATATATGACAAGGAGAAAGTGATTTGCAGCTTCTCCTTCCCTCGTGCTTCTAGGGAGAAGAGAACCTCTGTCCAATTTTATCTGGAGCCTTGTTTTTCCAATCAGAGTCATGGAACAGGGATGAAAGAGAAGAATAAAAACAAGCCAAGACCATCTGATTAGTTTACATAGGAGAGACCAGACTCCCAGGAGGGGAAACGCTATATCTGTAAGATAAAGGGTAGGTGAGAAAAATGTAAGAATCAGAAAGCACTAGATTTTAAAAAAAAGTTCTGGGAAACTTCTTTTTTTTCTTTTTTTCTCTTTTAGAGAAGGAGACGTGATGAAGGCAGCTGTCATATTGTGATAGGTGGAATTTTGAGGAGATAGATGGATAAAGAGATTTTTCAGAAAATCTGCTGTAAGCTGTGGATGAAACTCTTCCTTTAGCATTTTCTGAAAGACTGTAATAAAGATATACATTGCTTTTAAATGATTTTTGAAAACCAATGTGTGCTTCTTCAGGGATGACACTGTGCTGACACGGGGACACGCGGCAGCTCCATTTTATACAAGTTAGGTAGAAACCCCTGTGTTGTTTGCTTAGGGGTTCCACACCCATGCAGCTGATTCAGCTATATCCAGGGAGGTATCTTGTTATAGTTACAAAAGCTCTGAGGTAGGAGCCTGAAGACCTGCATTTGAGTCCTGGTTCTCTCTCTCACCAGCTGAGTGGCCTACGGCATGTCACCTACCCTCCCTAAATTCGGTGCCCTCACCACCAGCTGGGGCAAGGATGGCGCTATCTGCCTGCGCCCTGGACGTCTATGAGAATCAAGTACGGTAAGGGTATGTCAGCTTGCTCCGAGGACTGTGAAGAGCCACCCAAATCATTACTAATTAAGGCCTCTTGGACAGCACGATATTCACCAGCTTACTGTCCTGGTGATAGCAATGGTGACCGGGATGGTTCCAAGACTGTCCCTGCCCAGGGCCATTAGCAATTCTTCTCTGCCCCTTCCTGGTATCTTCTCTGAGTCAGGAGGCAGGGAGGAATAAACTCAGTCCTAGGAAACCTACTGGGAACTGGACAACTTCCCCACCTCATTTCACCCAGGGCCTCCACTGCTGATTAAATGGAAATGCCGGAGGGCATGATGGGCCCAGGCCAGGATTCTCCTGAATCCAGCCTATGCCTGGCCACCATGCCCTGTGCTGATGGTGACCTCACCCGCTGGCTCCCATCTCAGTGGATGGCTCTTTCTGAAAGGCCATTTTGTGACTCGTCTTGAGAGTGCTTCATTCATGCTGGCTGAAGTTCTTTCTTCTTTGCTCAAAATTAACTCTACTCAGCCCAAGGCAGCCAAAAAGAAACCGAACTAGACATGAGTGAGTGAAGACCTTGCATACTCCAAATCTGTTTCCAGGGGAGTTTTCTCTGCTTTCCAGGATTCTAAGAGAATGTCATCCAACCTCAGACGCAACTGCTAGGCTGGAGCCAAGAGCCCACCTTCTGTGGAGGCCTCTCCTAACATGTTCCCAGTAATCCTGAGATCTGCACCTCCCTGTGCAGAAGTAGTCAGACCCATGTCCGGGTATCTATCTGCTGCCTCAGAAGCAGACCTTTCCTTTTTGTTTTTAGCTGCTGAGACCAAAAACTTGGCTGATTCTGTCTCTGGTCTGAGGCAAGAGTCCTTGCATCTGATTTTCCTAAGAGGCAGCCCAGAGGCTGGTCAATAAGAAGCTGGCCTGCTTTCCTTGGCCTCGGCACGGCCAGTTCTGCCCTCGCTCTGAGCCAGGCCAGGAGTGACCAGGGCCCAAAGCAGCACCAGGATCTTGAATTAAGACACAGGCAACTCATTTCACTTTCCTGGCTGCCTCAACACAGCTGTCTTGTCAGCCTGTGTCTCAACCTCTTGAGCGATTCCAGCTGCTGAGCCATGCCTGTAGACACAGCGACATTTGGTTTCTGTTAAAACAGAACAGATCGGTGTGTTCACCTGCTTCATTTTTTCCTTCCTGCACAAAGACAGGGACAGAGGCAGCCAAAAACTGATGCTGCTGATTTGGAGATTTCCCATTCTGTTGCAGTGACTTCATGCCTTGGACTGGCTGCTGCTGGGTCTTTCAAAGCCACTTTATTTCCTGTGTATTTCCAGCACTCAGCCAAAAAGAATGTACAGTATGAAAAAAATGTCTACTACCCCCAATTGCAGACCCTCTGGAAAAAAAAAATACCTGGAGGGCTTTTAAATAAAAGAAATAATTACAACCTGCTGAGTGCCTTACAGAATCCATGAAACTCGACCTTTTCCAAAATATCACAGTATTTCCTGTGGCTTCTGTAGGCTAAGCCTTCGTAGATTTATAAGTATGTCTCCAACACAGTCTCTGGGCTCCATTTTTTTAAATCCAAAAGTCAGATTTGAAAAGCACAAATCCATACTCTTGGAAGACAGCATCCCAAAAGGTGTTAAGTGAAAACCCAGCTGTAAAAATATAGGCCGCCAGCTGTCAGGGGTGGTGGACCCATGTGCATTTTTTTTTTTTTTAATTTAATGAATGGAGATTTGCTCCTCCAGCTTGCTGCCCAGTTGTAGCTTTTCAGAAGCTGAACGTGTCAGGTGTGCCCTGCAGATGTGGATAGCTGCAGCTTACAACTACATGGTGGGTGGAGAGTGGTTTATGAGCCTTGAGATTCATAAATTCTGGTCTCCAGAACTCACAATATAAGCATCGTTAAAAATTGGAAAGGGAGGGAAGAAAAACATTCTGACCTTAAACTACTTGTGATCAACGACGCAGACTCCTGGTAGCCGGACCCAAGAGAAAACAGAAACCTTTGAAAGACAAACCCAAGGAGACAGAAGTTTCTACTGACTTTCCAGAAGAGGTAAAGATTCTAAGCCTAGGTGCACTGTGCATGACTACGTCTTGCTGAGACTATGTGTGGACAGATGAGATGAAATAGAGGGTGGTACAATTAAACGGATGCTTAGTCTTATGTAGACCATCTCAGATAGGCGGTCATAAAAGTATCTTTCCTCAGGTGGTTTTGAACAAATAATTCAGATTATTATTTCAACTTCATGCTCTAGGTTGCCTGCCTTAGTTAAACCCAAGGAACAAGGGACTTTATTTCCAGTGGGGAAGAGTCGAATTCCATATCAATTTACTCTGAATAAAATAGTGAGTACAAACTCACCGATGGACTCTAGTTAGTGTCAGCCTTGGGCTGAATTGGGAACTGATTACCATTTGTGTTCACAGCCTTCTGCCCTCCCCTTTTGTTCCCCTTAACCCCTAATGTTAGAGACCCTCTATTAAAGCTTGGCAGCACCCCCGGCTGGGAAATATCCCCCTGCTCAATCTCTTCTCTAAAAAACCAATGAAGTGATTTCGGTTAAGGTGAAAACAGCTGAGGATGGCCCACCTCCCAGATAACAGCAACGTTTTAATCCTTAAGGGAGAGTTCCAAAAGAGTTGAAATCCTTGGAAACAAGGGAAGCTGAGATCTTTTTAACTGGGAGATGGGCATGTTCAAGGTTTGTTACCTGCCAGCGTCAAGGGAGTATGAGAACACTGCCTGAGAGATGGCAGTGTATGGATGAACTTGATTTACTCCCTAAATCAAGTGCAGGGCTCCAGTGACTGGAAGAAGAGCAAAGAAAATGAAACAGATGTTTTTAAATTGGCATCTCTTTACTTAGCCTTGCTCTATTAAATAGAACAATATATACAACTATTTTTATGCAGAAAGAAAAATTCTAACATGCCCCAATCACCTGCCACAGACACTTTATAAACTTCCTACCATTTGGACTTGCTTCCACCATTTCAGGATTTCAGAATAGACGAGGCAGTCCCATGTGGACCACAAGAATGACTACTGTGCGTTAGGAGAGGCTGTTTTGAGACGTGCAGTGTGTGATTACTGGAGGACACAAGCGAGGCATGGAGTAGAATACACAAACAGGCCATGGTAAGCTCTCAGATGAATTGTCTTGGGCTCCCAGTTAAGCTACAAATCAAGTAGGTAGAACCTTTCTTGTTTCTATGCCTTTCCTTTAGGGATCTAATTCTTGGTAAAGTAACTCAGGAAGAAAAAAAAAATAATGCTTCTTTGTTTCTAGGACTTGGCCTTTTGTTTTATAATTAATATAGATTCCCACCCAATGCATAAATGTTTAAAGCATCATTTATATTGCATTGCCCACTTGTTAAAGTTTAAAATGTTGCAAATAGCCAAGAGTCTGTGCTTTAGTTACAAGCAAACTTGCTCACCCCATGGTCTTAATCTCCAGCAAACAGTGGCATAAATGAAACTCGGGGTCAACTTTGTATTTGCTGTACATCCTTTGCCATTATAAAGTAAGATGAAAAGATGTGCTTTTAAGTCAAAGCCTAGCTTAGAATATTATAAGTATGTACATATATGCGCTGACCTACGATACGTGTGTTTGCATGTGTGTGCACATCTCTATCACATAGTTTATAGAGAAATAGATGAAAAAAGTAGTCCTAATCCAATACTGGTATAATTGAAAAAAAAAAAAAAAGGCACAAGGAGATATAATCTCGTGCCTTCAAATATAGGGATTATTTTGTTAACAAGGAAATGGGTCCAGAGATTGAACCATCTGCATTCTAAAGACCGTATGCAAATAAAGTAAGAGGTTCTTCTTCACGTGGTTCTTAGATACGTTAATGTTCCATGTCTCTTTGACTTATATGTCAACTCATCGGCAGATTGTGCAGTGGTTTCAAATCAAGGAAGCCTCAGTCAACTTGTCCTGGGCTGGGTTCTTGACTAGGTTCCTAACCTGTCCTTAACGGCCAATCCAGCTCCTGGTTCAGTAACTGAGTCCTTGTTTGTTCTATCCTGGTTCGTGTTCTAGGCCTCCCCGGTCTCAGACCGGTTCCTCTGAATCTCAGTCTTACAACCGTAATTTTTAGGCAGTATGGATTTCCATTACAGGGTTCTAGCACAGGAAGCATGGCATTGATAATGGGAAGTTGGTGTGTGTTTCAGTAATATCTCCTTATTAAAGGGGGAGATAAGTCTGCACTGGTGAGAATGTTTGAATTCTAGAATATTTTAAAAAGAGGAAGCTCCAGTGTTTTCCAGTACACAGGGGAATGCTGGCTAGCTGCAAAGGAGTTTCCTGGTTACCGTAATCAAGGTATAAGTGATTGTCAGTATTTTGTGTAATAGGTACTCATGAATTTTAGTAAATATAAGAATTACCCAGGGAGCTTATTAAAATGCACATTCTGGCCAGGAACAGTGGCTCATGCCTGTAATCCCAGCATTTCGGGAGGCTGAGGTGGGTGGACCGCTTGAGGTCAGGAGTTCAACATCAGCCTGGCCCGCATGGTAAAACCCTGTCTCTACTAAATATACAAAAAAATTAGCCAAGTGTGGTGACGGGTGCCTGTAGTCTCACCTGAAGGCTGAGGCAGGAGAATCTCTTTAACCCAGGAGGTGGAGGTTGCAGCATGCCACTGCACTCCAGCCTGAGCCACAGAGCGAGACTCCATCAAAAAAAAAAAAAAAAAAGCACATTCCTAGATTCCTAGAGTCCATTCCCAGGGGTCCTGATTCAGAAGCTATGGGGTGTAGTTTATGAGTTGTGGACTTTCCCCCTATTCTCTCTTGGGTAGAATTTTGAGAAACATGGCTCTACGCCTTCATTGAGCAACATCCATATATAAATTATAAATTTTAATTTCATACAGACTATTATTGTTATAAAAATATTTACTGTCTTTAAAAAGTTTAGTCTATCCCTTACAATCTCACTTGCACCATTAATTCTTCCAGTAAATTATTTCTATAAAACATAGATGTAAAAGTTAACATACCCTGATCCAGAATGAATTACCACAAATTGCTCTAAGCAGGGATGAAATGCAAATTAATGAGATTTCTGTAAATGCTTATTTTTTTCTAACTAATATTCTATAGTGGTGAGTTATGATATGTAGTCAAATATTGAACTGTTTTAGCTATTTCAGGAGATTAATTTAAAGGCTATTTTTATACTAGCTAAGAGAGGGAGAGTAAGCTGATGATCAATTTAAGTAACCCTTGCCTTAACAGACTAAATTTTGTGGGAAAAAGTAAATGCAAACCAGAATTGCCCAGGTAAATGTTGCAGGGTGTCTGTTAGCACACAGATAGTGTCTCCTTTTACCAGGAGATAAGACAGAGAGAAATCTGTTCCCTGATTTTAGATGTCTAATAAATAACAAAAAGAATAATGATAATAGCTAATATTAGGGCTGGGTGCAGTGTCTCATACCTGTGATCCCAACATTTTGGGAGGCCAAGGCAGGAGGATTGCTTGAGCCCAGGAGTTCAAGATCAGCCTGGGCAACATAGTGAGACCCCATCTCTACTAAAAATAAAAAAGTTAGCCTGACGTGGTAGTGTGCACGTGTAGTCCCAGCTACTCAGGAGGCTGAGGTGGAAGAATCGCTTGAGTCTGGAATGTCAAGGCTGCAGTGAGCCGCGAGCACACCCGTGCACTCCAGCCTGGGGAACAGAGCAAGACCCTGTCTTGAAAAGAATATAGCTAATATTAATCCAACCCTTTCTATGTGCCAAGTACATTTGATTTGTTATTTCATTTTATCTTCACAACATCCCTACAGATGGATACTATTATCAGCTCAAGTTTACAGTTGAGGAAATGGAGGCTCAAAAAGGTTAAGTAATTTGCCCAAAGTCACAGAGCCAAATCTGACACCAAAGCCTAGGAGTCCCAGGTCACATCTACAGCTGAGAAAGGACTCACGCTCCACGCTGCCACTGGTCTCCTCTATCGGTATTTCCTTTGTTTTAGGCCTAGCTAAAACCTACAGTTTGAAGAGTTCATGCTGAATGAAGTGACCTACAGAGAATAATTATGCAGATAATTTTCTTTAGGAAACAGAAAAAGAATCTCTTCTAAAATTTCAGTTTCAATATATTTTTGCAAGCATATTTTTGTCCCAGTTGCTACCATGTGCAGCCTTGTCTGAATCTGGTGGCCAAACCACAGTGAGCATTCTGTCCAGGGACAGCAGCGGTTTTGGGCAGCCTAATAATTAGGACTCTCCATGTACATAATCTTTCGGGGAGAGAGGACATGACATTGAGATTAGATTAGAGGAAAAAGAGTGAAAGAGGACCGCGGATCGTAATCTATTCCCTTTTGTGATCAACATGTAGAAAACAGTTTCAGAAATATATTTTCATTTTTCACTGAAAAAAATATTTGTATCCCCTTCAGGGAAGGCAAGAAAAAGTAGGACTCAGTATCCTAGCAGTTGCTTTAGAAAGAGGAAATCGGCTGGCCCTCTGCCATGCATGCTTCATACCCAAAGCCACCTAGGTCCATTAACAGTCCTCTGAGGTGCGGAGGGCGGGGGTGGAGTCATGCATCTTAGTTCCAACTCCAAGTTGGGGGTCTCGTTACCCCACGATACAGGGATTCTTTCATTCCACTGTGAGGACCTGGATGGCAGAAGGCATTTTCAAGCAGGCAGTGAGGAGATCAGGGAAAAAAGCAGGTGGGGGCTTGAATGTAAAACAGTGCAGAAGGCCTGAGAGACCAGGAGAACAGGGAGAGGCCACAGTTGGAGGCCCCAAGGAGTATGTCTCCTAAAAGCCTTCAGCTGAATGTCCTTTCCCTTCCCATAGTGGGGCATCTGTCTCCACGCCCTGTCCGTGTTCACCTTGTTCTGCCTCCTTTGACTGATTCCAACGCTGTTGTCATGCATTGATTACTTATGGCAAATAACGTCAGGAGGAATTGGCAGTTGCGTGAAGATCGGTGGTGGGAGAAAGAAGTGAGACTAGCAGGAAACGGATCATCATTATTATTTAATTAAGGCTTGCTATTACAATAATAAATAATAACAATGAGAATAATAATAATGACCATAAACTAGCATTTAGTAGGTCAGGCACTATGCCAACCATTTAAAATATGCATGCTTATTTAATCTTTATGCTATTTTGATCAGTATTTTCATTATCCCACTTTACAGATGAGGATGTTGAGGCGTAAGGAGGTTAAGTACCTTGACCAAGGTCCTGGGCAGCTGAGTGGTAGTGCTGGGGCCTAGATCCCACATTCTGACTGCAGACTGACTCCAGTGCCTGCTATCTTGACCACCACGTGCCTGACTTTCACAGGTGTTAGCTTCCTGCATCCTCAAGGCACCAGGCTAACTAAGCGTGGCTCTCCCTTCTTACAGATGAAGAAACTGAGGCTCAGAAACAGTAAACAATCTGCTCATGGGGAGGAACAGAATTGAGGAACAAAAACAGCCTCTAAGCTCCTCTACCACAACTGCATAGGCCACTCTGTGAAACACACTCTGAGTAAGGATGGGACTTTATTTCTTACTGCTATGACTCCGTGTCTAGGTAGAAGCAGAAGCATTTGGGAAGGGGAAAGAGATCCGACCACATGCGTTAGGAGGTAGGGAAGCTGTATGCATGTAACATATCTCCCGGGGCCCCCATCACGTGAGAGGGGAGCCATCAAAGTGGCTTTGATACCTTTGATATCTCCAATGTTCATTCCGTTAATCCATGCATTCACCAAGTACTTACTGAATACCAATTCTCTCTCAGGAACTCTGCTGGTAACTGCGAATACCAATGGACACGGTCTCAGCCCTAGGAGCTTATGTCCTAGTGGAAGATGGAAATAAAAACAGCCACTGTGCTCTGAGGGCCTGCATGGGCAGGCACTGGCTCTCCACCCTTCATCCATTACTGTATTTGAATCTCACAACCACCATGCCAGTGTAGGTGTCTCTATCTCTATTTCATAGATGAGGAAATGGAGCCCAGATGAACTAAATGACACTATGCCAAATCACACTAGCAAGCAACGAGATTGGAATCCAAACCTAGGTTTTCAGAATTTAAATCCATACTACATGAACAAGAGTTTGGGGAGAGGAAACAGATCCAGCAACCTGTGTTAGGAGACGGGGAAGCCATATGCGTGAATAACATATCTCCCAGGGTC